TATATATATATATATATAACATATTTATATTTGTATTTATATATAATTTTATGTACATTATTGCTTTTTGACCCGCCCATAGTTTAAGGAGACGATAAAAAGATCTTCGTTTTTTTTTTTCTTTTAAGCGTCAGGCATACGGTACCTGCTGAGCAACAGTATTTTCTCAAATGAATGTTCATCTTTTAGTCATACTGCAATGATTATGGAGCGTAGGACTGTTGGTTTCTCCATCTGCGACATACTTCAGCAGTCATCTGGTGCTAATGTTGATACTTCATCATTGAGTGCAACTAATGAAACGGTTAGCAGTAATCTAAAATCTGATCAGAAAGCTAGCAACACACCGACACCAACAACCTTAATTGATGAACGTATTCCGGCTATTATGCAAGAAGCATTACCACTTTGGTTAACCTGTACCCCACCGTTGTCGTTTGAAAGAAACTTTATTGTCGCTCAGCGAAATGGTTAGTATTGTCTGCTTTTCAATTTTTATTTTTTAAAACTTTGTTGAAGTCTGATTAATGTCTAATTTTTACTTACAAAAACCTAATTATATTATCAAAAATACTTGTCATTTTAGTCACTCTTTCTTTCATTAAAAAAATTTGAAATGGTTAACAGAATATGCTTTTTTTTTTATTATTCGTCTAATCGCAGCCTTAAATTTACATCGTTATTCAGTCAGTTTTATATTTGCTTTAAACTATATTAAAAAGAAAAAAAAACAATTTTATTTGGTGAGCTATTTAGGCAGTTATCTAGTTTTTGAACTTTGAAGTTTAATTTATGTGACTTACATTTTGAAAGTTGATAAATACTGATAACATTATTCAGCAGTTTCATTTTTGGTTCTTTTTTTTATTCAGATTTTGTTCACTGTCGCAATAATAAAAATGACATTTTAATATTCTGAAAGTGATTAAACGAAAAAAAAAGAGCAATTCTTTTTTTGATAGATTTGCACTATGATAGTTATTAAAATTATGCAGTTAGCCAAATTTTCTGTTTGTAGTTCTAACAGTGATGACGACAATGATGGAAATAATATTTATGCATGAGGTTCCTAAATTTTTTAACTTTATTTATTCACTTCTTTTTTTTTTTTTGTAATAGTTAAATAATCCTATTGCATCAATTTTTTCTTCATGTTGTTCTCTCGAACAAATTTGTTCATCGCACTTTCACGCATTTGAGTATCACTCAAAAATTGTAACAAACACATCGCATTACTTTTTGAATGCTGTTTAAACATTAAAACAGTATAGCAGTTAGTCTGCAATTCTGAAATTTTAATGGATTTTATATATGTGCATTGTATTAAACTGATGTTTACAATTTCTCATTGCTTTTTTCAGTTTCTCCATATTTTTAAAATTCTAAAACGGTCTAAGCGTAGAGCTGTGAAATTTAAGCACTAAATAATGTGTTGACTCTATTTTAAGACTTTTGAACCTTTACTATTTTGGATTCAAAAATAGCATATCTGTTCACTCTTTTGTTGATGTAGCTTTATATATATAACTACAATCATCGGCAAAAAAAAAGAAATATATATATATATATATATATATATA